GGGGAGGGGGGAGGGGGTGGGTTAGCCTGGTGATGGGTATTAAAGAGGGCACGTTCTGCGTGGAGCACTGGGTATTATGCACAAACAATGAAACACTACATCAAAAACTAATGATGTAATGTATGGTGATTAACGTAACAATAAAAAAATTTAAAGATGAAAAAAAAATGTTTCACCAAACGCCCATTTCCTTGGAACAGGTAGTACTTTGGGAGGAAAGGGAGACTGTTTGAGAAACTCTGATTTAAACAAACAGGGCTTTTGTTGAACTTCTCAGAGCCTTGAACACAGTGACATAAACTATGTAAAGGAAAAGGGGATGCAGCCCCTCCCAGCCTCCTATGACCAGGAACCACTTTTCACATCATCTTATGGGACCTGATGGAAAATGCTGTTTTAAAAGAATAATGCAGGAACACACACAAACACACACCTAAACACACAGGAGATTTCTTCCTATTTAGCTTGTTGGGAGGGAAAAATAGAGAGGGCTGGGTTTGTCCTCTGGCAGTTCCATTTTTGTAAACACAGAACCAGAGAAGCAAGGTCAGCCCTTTGGTGTTGACACACAGACCTCTCCCTGTAAGCAGGGAAGGCTATCTCATAGAGAAGATTCTATGATAGAGTTAAGGTCTGGGGCCATTAGAGGGCTCTGTAGGTCTGATGGATTTGTTTCGAATCCCATGACACACTCAGGAGAGACTGTCACTGTAATGAAGCTTGGTGGACGAGACATACAAATCTGTCAGTGGTGAGGAATATCTCAGTAACCACATCTGGAGCTTATGGGTGGGATTAATACAAACGCTGTTCTTCCCCACTGAGCTCAGGATAAAAATAGCAAACTGGGGACATAAACCTATCTGTTCAATGTAGAATGACTTAATATCCTTTGTGAAAATATCAAAATAAAACTGAAACGGACCACTCCCTATTATTATAAATGCATGTATCTCTTTTCAGCTACATCTCAGCTTGCTAGCTTCCAATACTCTGATTCCATACAGCTGGTATTTCTATTTGTTCGTTTTCACTGTTTACCTGTGCATGTCTAAAAACATCATAGTCCCAGGGACAACCGTCTTGGGCCCCCTCCCTCTTCCAGAGCTTTGTACTATCACTTTGCTATCGCTCAATAAACCTTGCTTTGCTGCCCAACAAATAAATAAATAAAATAAAAATAAAATAAAAACATAGTCCTGATGAGACAGTCCGTTCACTTAGAATATGCAGCTTGACATATAATCTGATCAACACATCTGATATTACAAGCATGCACATATGTGTATGTGTGAGTTCAACGGTCAGAAATATGGAGTATTTCCAGTCATGCAGTTTTTAAGTGGAGCAGTTATAAATGGTCAATCAAGATATGCCCTTGACTCAGCTGGATATTTCCCTGGAAGAAACCTGTTCATTCACTGTGGTACTTTGTTCATGGCCATACATTTGGAAATCCTGGCCAACAACAGTGCTTCTCACAGCATGATCCCACAACCTGTGGCATCAGCATCACTGGGGGGCTTGTGAGGAATACAGATTCTTGGCCCCCACTCCAGATCTGCTGACTCAGAAACTCTGCTGCATGTGACCCCAAAGGGGTGAAGGAACACAGATCTGTGGATATCTACAGGGGAACAAGTAACTGAGGAAGCAGTCAAGAAGCTTCAGGGAAAGGCAGCATCTGTAGACTTTTAAGTAAAGCTAGATCATATCCCTCAATAAGTGAGAAAGTGGACTGAGACATAAATCCCTGTCTCACGCCATCTCTTGACACGGTGACATGAGATGAACAGCCACTTAGTCAACGGGGAAGCTTATGGTCACACACTGTGGTCCACCGTGGGAGCCTCGCTGCTTCAGACGCAGAAAAAAACAGAGAAACCCCTTTCTCCCTCCTCCCGATGAAAAGAAAACAATATAAATGAAGCTGAGCCCCCAAAATGCACCCCCACAAGGTCTCTGGTGGTTAGTTCTTTCAAAACCACCCAGCACACCCAACCAGCGTTTATAAAAGGTCCTCCCCAGGGCCGTGGAATGGTGCGCCAAGACCAGCCAGGCTGGGGCAGGTGGCCCTCCAGCCAATTGCGTCACTGCAGCAGCCCCAGTCCAAGCCCCTTCTGCTTTGAAAGGTGCCAGCTCTCCCTCTGTCCCCAACTCTTGACTGTTCCCACGACTGCTACTCAACAGTATCGTGAAAGTTCACGCTCTTAGAAGTACCTCAGGGCCTCTTGTAGCATTTGTAATTTAAAAAGTGCTTTCTTTTTTTTTCCTACCACAAAGGACCCTTATGTGAGCCATCCAACAGCAAATAACAAAACATTTTAAAGGAAAGAACACTTTTGAACCCCAGCTTTGCTTTAGAACTTGTCTACATGCCATGTTGCCTCGACTTCAGTTGCCTCGGGCACTAAATGGAGGGGTCTTCAGCCAAGAACATGTGGCTTCTAGCTGAGCGCACACTGTATTAGTGGATGGGACTCAGAGCATGTTCTTCAAGGGTGCAGGGCAAAGCAACTTGAATAAGTATATGATCACCCTAAAACACTCTCAGTCTGAAAACTGATGTAGCAAAAAAGAGAAGGAAGCTGAGCTGTTAGCCAATCAAAGGGACGGGGCGAGGTTGGAAATGAAAACTGTTGGAGTTTGGGGCCCGTGCAATGGCAGGTGTCAGGAAGAGCCCTGGCTCTGAGACCACTACCCCTGGAGGCATCTATGGAGCCACAGAGATTATCTGTCCGTGTGCTCATCAACATGCAAGGCTCCCTCCTCAAAGGAGCTGCTAAATCACATATCAAGGCCCCGTTACCTTACCAAACTCACCATCTCCTACCAACAACAGAAGAAGAAAAACAGTAGCTAAAACCTATTGCACCTTACTGATAAACGCCCTTAAAAGCAATTACACATTATGATTTGCCACTGCATTGCTTCTGAGTTTCTATTTCCTGAGCTCTCTGTGATTAGTACATCATTCCTGTCATTATCAACAGGATGTGATTGTAATTGGCATGTCGTACACAGTGTTGTTATGGATGTACTCAGTAATTATAGCACTGTGTTCACACCTCTTGCAAAATGTAGGTATTATTTCTGACCCTGAGAACACTGGGAGCAAGTGATATTGGCAGGATGTTTCTGGGGACTTTCACTCTTAAAGAAATGGCTTCAGTGGCAAGAGGAACAGCTCTGGAGGTGAAGAATCTTCATTCTCGAGGCAACGGGACAACCAAGTGGCCAGCAGAGAGGGCTGTGCCACCTACCAAGGGAGCTGGAGCTGGAGCATGTGCACCCAGGTGTCTTTGCCAAATCATGTAAATGGATAGAGTTACTTGTGCTGAAGGGCAAAAGGCTTAAAAATATTCACCTCTTTTAATTTCATTTTCCTATTCTCTACCAGGAAGCAATATAAAAGAAGTAATTGAGGGTGTAAACATGAATTAACATATGTTTATGTTCGCAGAAGTGCTGGTGAAGAAACAGGAAAACGGGAAGCGACCTGTGACTGCAATCACAGGCTAGTCCAACCATCAGATGGAATACTCTGCCTACACATTTTCTTTTGAAAAGACAGTATTATGACATGAAAAAAAATGTTCAATATGATTAAGTAGAAAAGTCAGGAATCCATAACAATACAATCTGAATGTTGTGGTACAGAATCGATACATATACCTAGAAACCAAAGCCTGAAGGAAAATACACCAAAGTGCATTAGTGGCTATGTGAGAGCAGTATGATATAAGTGATCGTTAAAATTCTTCATTTTACACTTTTCAGTATTTCCAAATACTGTGTGTACACCTCCCATTTGAGAATGCTTTAGACATACCACATGATTAAAGCCAACCTGGATGAGACCGGAAATGATGCTGCTGGCTCTAACGTCTGCCACCTTGAAAGCTGGTCCCTGAGAGTCCCTCTGCCTTGGTACCTGTGTGTTCATCCCAGCTCCACAGCAGGCTCTTACCTGTGAAGGTGTCGTCACACTGATTTCTGGAACAAAGTTGTCCTCGAAGAAACTGATGATGTTCTCCTGCTGGAGTTCCTTTGTTGGGGTGACTTTAGGCAGAGGTGGGACGGGAGGCCCCTTCCTTGTCTACAAAACATCAGAGACACAAGCAAACTAATTCGGCCAAAGACGGCATGTGAGATGTGTAGAAATGCCACATGAACAGCACTGGGCGGACATATCGGTCACTGACTGACATTTAGATATGCACAGAGAAATAAGGGACCTGACTGAGTAGAGAATGCTGTCTGCCTTGGTGGCTCTGGGAGCACCAATAAGCAAGGGCCCCCCGAGAAACACTCAGGCAAGGTGACCCCATCCACCTCAATGTCAATGCTACACGCAGGGCTGCAAGGCCAGGTGCCCACGCTTCTCAAGTTAAACTAGGGCGACCCCCTTTGTGAAGTCAACTGAAACGGATTCCTCATTTCAGCAAGAAATTCGAATTTTAACACTACAATCAGGAAACCTTTTCACCGGACTCAGTGAAACCACCCACAGACAGCAAGAACTTCAGTTTCCACTAGAGTGTTTTGAGAAGTAAGAAATTCACAGATCTATTCCATGGATCTTCTCACCACTTTCCTTAGTTTCAAAGACTTGAACTTCAAGTCTTGTTGTAAGAATTTCATCTTCACCCCAAGTGGGGAAGACAAGGGTGGCAATGTTTCTCTATATTGACCTTTTCCAGCCCTTACTGTGTCTCTCAATCGCTTGTTACAGATGCTTTTGTTGAGTGTCTACTCACATGCCACATCCTGTGGGTGATACCAAAAATGTGAAGTGGCATATAAACATCATGGCTTTTTGGCCATACTTGCTCCAAGTGTAACCTTAATTGCTAGAGGAGGGAATGTCCAGGGAGAAGGTGAGATTGATCAGAGCCTTCTGAGAACAAGAGGTGGGAGGTGAGGAGGGCACGCGAGCCTAAGGAAGCTGAGGTTGTGGAGAGAAGTCTCAACCCACCCAAAGACAGGGTATGTGAGGAAACAGGAATCCAAATTGGAGAACTAAGTTGATTCCTTAGTGACCATCACAATGCCTACAGCCTCAAAGCCTCCCCAACTGGAAACTCCTTTCAGTGCCCTAGCACCATGGGATTATCCCAGATGGGGTCACCTCACCACGAATTCTTCCATTCTCCCCAGTGTATTTGACCTCTTCCTACCTGTGAAGGCGACCTAGGCCTTGCTGGTGCAGGAGATGCAGGTGTCAGCGTGTGATTGGGACTAGCTGTCGGGCTCGGAATGGGTGAAGGCTCCTCAGGTGGTGAGGGTGTCTTTGCGATGCGGAGAGGACCAGAATCGCTAGATGAACACACGAAAGTCAGCAATGAGCCTTCTAAAGAACAGCACTTACTTTCCAGGGGTCTTCTGTCCCAGAGGAATCCTGAGGCACTTCTGGTTCTGTCAGGCATCTAGCCCCCTTCTAAGTTAATTCTGGTGGTTATTAACAGTGTTGCTGATACTGGTACCATTTTTTGTCTGTGGTCTGTGTGCTGGACCCCATTCACGTATATTTTCTCTAACCATCACAACACCCTTGCATCACTGTCCCCACTTTACAGGTAGTAAAGGGGGGCACAGAGAGGTTAAAAACGCCTAAAGTCACTCAGCAATTTGGTGGGTCTGAATTCAGGCCGTGGGAATGCAAACCCCCTGTTCTTTCCATTGTGCCAAACAGACTCTGCAAGATTCTTCCAAATATAAGCTGACTTAGCTGAACTACCTTCACTTTTGATTTACAAGAGAATCTTGCTATGCCACAGTGTATAGAAAAACCTACCCTGAAAATTATAAATCTGATATTAAAGGCATCCTCAGAATAGTGTTAAGATTTTATAGAAGTCAGGGATGCCTGGGTGGCTCAGTGGGTTAAGCGTCTGCCTTTGGCTCAGGTCATGATCTCAGGGTCCTGGGATCGAGCCCCACATGGGGCTCCCTGCTCAGCAGGGAGCTTGCTTCTCCCTGTGCCCATCCTCCCACTTGTACATACTTTCTCTCTCAAATAAATATTTTATAGGACTCTTTTCTGATAACATTTGGAAACAAATTCATTAGTTATTCCTCTAACTACACCTTATAAAACAAAGACTCGGCTCAGACACCTTGACATGTGCAAACAAATTATGTGAAGGCAGAGAGTCAGTAATACTTCCTGAGAGCCCACTGCATTCCTGGCACTGGGCCAGATGCCTGGAACCAGCCCAGATGCAATGAGCAGGAGGGCACTTGGGACACATCCTACTCTCTAAGTCTTTCTAATGTCTACAGATTGAAGAAGTAGGGTCTGTACCCCAAAATAAACAAGCACATACACCACAGCATGGTCTACATAGCCAAGGGAGTGGGTCCTGCGGAGAACACGGATGAGCCGCATGATTGAGGCTGTGCCAGCAATCATGCCCTCTGCCGGGAAGCGTGGCCCAATCTATGCTCAATAGGGAGTCCACTGAGCTCACTCACCACCTCGTTCTGCAGAGGAATGATGAAAAAAATGAAAGGAACATTTGTTAACCTGCCATGGCCCCGTTTTCTCTGATTCAGCAATATTGAGATTTTCATGTTGTCCCTTTCATGTCTCTATGAGGGAGTAACTCTTAACTTTTTCATGTATGTCATTGCTAAAACACCCAATGTCATTTTGATGTTCTTATTACAAATTTTTCTTATTCCAAGTTCATATTATATTGGAAACAGTAGTCCTTTCCTGTATTCTTTTAGGGAATGCTCTTTCCCTTAGAAAGATAAGAGATACTAAATGCTTACTTTCCATAGCCACTGTAGCAGAGACTATTATGAGTACAGCAAATACAGAACATCAAATAAGAAAAATTAGCTCTCTCCAGAGAGATCTCAACATATGGTGATGGGGGCACCTGTGCAGGAGTGTGTGTTTTTATAAATGACTGTTTATGTTGATTGACATTAAAAATGTAAATATTAACTTAGAAGCCATTTAGTTCAATACCATCTCTTTTTTCTGTTGATTAAAAAAAATGAGATCTTTAACGAGAGGATTAATTGGATGCACTTAAGGAAGGCAAAGTAAGTTAACTGTAGAGTCATAAACTGGAAAGCTGGATCTTTTGACTTCCAGCCCAAGGCTCGTTAGCCTGCATTCCTTGAGTACATAATGCCTGAGAAGGATGGAATAAAGGGATTCCAAAATCACAGGAGAAAGCTGGTGGGAAGCCAACTCCTGGAAAGGTAGACAATTTACTTACAGATCACCGGGCCTTTGGTATATTTGACTGGCATACTCACAATAACAATGTGCAACAGAATCAAAACAATGCAGTATTGGGAGGGGAGGAGCAAGATGGTGGAGTAGGAGACCTAAATTTTGTCTGGTCCCAGGAATTCAGCTAGATAGGAATCAAACCATTCTGAACACCTACGAACTCAACAGGAGATCGAAGAAAAGAATAGCAGCAGCTCTCTGAACAGAAAAGCAACCACTTTCTGAAAGGTCTCTTCTGATTTGTTTAGTGTATATTTTTCTGGGGATGTTGTTACCTGTTAGCATTTTGTTCTCTCATTCATCTATTCCCCTCTGGACAAAATGACAAGACGGAAAAAATCACCTCAATAAAAAAGAACAAAAGGTAGTACCGACTGCCAGGGACATAATCAATATGGACATTTGTAAGATGTTGGAACTAGAGTTCAGAATGACGATCTTAAAGATACTAGCTGGGCTTGAAAAAAGCCTGGAAGATATTAGAGAAACCCTTTCTGGAGAAATAAAAGAACTAAAATCTAACCGATTCAAAATCAAAAAGGCTATTTAATGTGGTGCAATCAAAAATGGAGGCTCTCACTGCTAGGATAAATGAGGCAGAAGAGAGAAATAATGATATAGAAGACCAAATGATGGAAAA